GTCATCAACATATATTTGCACTAATAAAATATGATCACCATCTTGAATTCTAAATAGAGTTTTGTCAACAAGGCCTTTGGTGAATCCACAGCTTATCAAGAACATTGACAAGGTATCATACCAAGCTCTAGGTGTTTGTTTCAACCCATACAATGCCTTTTTAAGTTTGTAGACTTTATCACCTTCGCCTTTTACCTCAAAACCTGGGGGTTGTTCGACATAAACTTCTTCTTCGAGTAGACCATTCAAGAATGCGCTTTTCACGTCCATTTGATAAACAGTGAAATCTTTGTGTGCGGCATAGGCTAGGAAAATCCTTATAGCTTCGAGTCTGGCTACCGGTGCAAAGGTTTCATCAAAATCTATTCCTTCTTCTTGAGAGTATCCTTTTGCAACGAGCCTTGCTTTATTCCTAACAATCACGCCTTCTTCGTTTGCTTTGTTCCGGAAGACCCATTTAGTTCCTACAACATTGTGGTTCATTGGTCTTGGAACAAGTTCCCAAACGTCATTTCTTTTGAATTGATCGAGTTCCTCTTGCATGGCGTCAATCCAACTTGGATCATTTAGAGCTTCGTCCACTTCTTTTGGTTCAATCTGTGATAGATAACATGTGAACAATGCTTCCATGGTAGATGATCTTGTTTTCACGCCATCGCGAACATTTCCGATCACTAAATCTGGTGGGTGATTTTTGAGCCATCTTAAGTCTGGTTCAAATGGGTGCATGGTACTGGGTGGATTTACTGGTTGAGAAGAGGTAGCACTGGTTCGAATTTTTGCTTCATTTTGTAGATTTCCAACTTCTCCAGTAATTGCATCCAAGGGCTGATTTGCAATTTCCACTTCAACTTCATTCCTGGATTGATTAGCAATTTCAATACCAATTGCATCCCTGGGTTGATTTGCAATTTCAATACCAATTGCATCCCGCATTTCATTTCTTACTGGATGAGAGATGGGATTTTCTAGAGAATTAATTTCCAACTCATCCATTCCCTGCAAAATATTTTCTTCACACGTATCATCAGTATCACAAAAATCAATATGACACTTGTTACCATTTTGCTCAATATTTTCGCCATTTTCGTCCAGAGCATCAATATTGACGTGTGATTTTTCATCAAATACCACGTGTATGGATTCTTCAACCACCATTGTTCTTTTGTTCAACACTCTGAATGCTTTGCTGGTAGTCGAATATCCTAGAAAAATTCCTTCATACTTATTGGATCAACCGGTCCAAATAAGTCCATGTGTAACAAACTTAGCGGTCTTGATGTTGATTCGTGCGTCTTAGACTTGAATGATGATTTGATTTGCTTTCCGCGTTGGCATGCATCACACACTTGGTCCTTCTTGAAGATAATACTTGGTAGTCCTTCAACTAGATTTTTCTTTGCAAGCTGATTGATAGTCTTGAAGTTTAAATGGTTGAGCTTTTTGTGCCATTCCCAATTTGCTTCATTCGAATTTCTGGCCATTAAGCATACTGAATCTTTGCTTGTGCTCCAATCAACAATATACATATTCTTTCGCCTTTTTATTAGGCAATTATCTTTGGAAAATTCCACAAGATAGCCTTTATCACAAAATTGACTAGTGCTCAACAAATTGAATTTTAGGCCTTCAACAAATGAAACATCTTCGATTTTCAAACCATTTCTTTCAATTGTACCAGCTCCTTTTGTAGTTCCATAATTTTGATTTCCTCCAAATATAACTTTTGGTCCATCGATTTTCTTGAAATTCACTAGACAAGATTTATTTCTAGTCATGTGGCGTGAGCAACCACTATCGATGTACCAAACATCCTACAAAAAAGATTAGTTGGTTTTAGGTACCCATACTTGCTTGGGTCCTTTGCTGTTAGTAATTTTTGGTAACCAAACCCACCTTGATCCTATTGAATTAAGATAAGGCGGTTTGTAACCATTTGAAACACGATAATCATAATTAACTTTTGAAAACATTTTTGGCGCCGGGTTTTGAAAAACATTTTTATATCTAGGCACCTGGGAAGAGGATTGTTGCTTTGGTCTATAAGAAGCATTTAAACAAGATTTACACAACCAATCCTTTTGAGTGGAATAAAATCTTCCATCTCTATTTCTAGAAAAGCTTCCCTCTTTTCTAAAAATTCTTTTTGCACTTGACTCTTTGGCATATCTTTGCTTGAAGAATTTTTGTTGCTTTGCCGTGTTATTGAACTGTTTTGGCCTACCAACATTCAACTTTGCTTTCTCATGATAGCCAAGTCCTTGTCTCATTGTGTTATACTGACTTTTAACAAATTTTACCACTTGCACTTTATTGATTAAAGGAGTAGTAAGATTAGTCAGTTTCGGAGGGGTTTGAGAACATGTGGAGTCATAACCGATTCCGGTTCTATCTCCTGATGGCTTTTGCATGTTTACCATTTTATCCATAATTTTGGACGAATTAGTAAACGTAGCAATGGTAGCCCGAAGGTTATGTTCTCTAACCTCTCTTGATTTACACTCTTCTTGAAGTTGAATATTTTCACTCTTCAAGTTACTCACTTCAAGTAAAGCATCTTGCAATTTTTTATTCATCTCTTCTTTTTCAAGAATTAGAATATTATTGCGCTCCTTGAGTTGAGGATGAGTGAGCATAATCTCTTGACAATCTCGCATTAGGTTGTCAATAGATTCACGAGAAAAAGAGGAATTAACAGAATTGAAAGAATTAGATGTTACCTCTTCTTCCTCTGCTCCAAGAGCCATAAAGCACTCTTCACTTGAACTCAACTCAATTGATTTGCATATTAGAGCCGTGTCATCTTCCGAACTTGAGCTTTCATCACTTGATGACAATCCATTCGACTCATCATTTTCATTTGGTTCAATGCTAACGAGAGCTTTTCTTTTGTCGCGCTTGAACCTTCGATCTTTGCTTTCGGATTTATTCGGTGTAGATTCAACATTTATGCCTTGATACTTGCTAACGATCGGATACGGACAATTTATTTTGAAATGTCCGGGTTTGTGGCAATTGTAGCATAAATTGTTGTTTTCTTCGACTTTCTCTTCTTGTGTCGTGCGAGAGACATATTTTCCACGAGCAGAATTTTTGTTGTCTCCTTTTCGCATGAACCTTTTGAATTTTCTAACAAAAAGAGCAAATTGTTCGTCAGTTATAAAATCAATATTATCTACTGACCTGGAGGTTGACGGTTGTTCGGCCATTAGAGCTGGATTTCGAATTTCATGAACTTCATCATCTTTGGCCTTCATTTCGAACTCATATGCTTTAAGATCACTAAATAATTTATCGGTTGACAATATTCTTAGATCTCGGTGATCTCGCATAGCCGTAACCTTCATATCCCAAGTAGATGGTAAGCCTCGTAGAACTTTGAGATTAATTTCCTTTTGGCTAATATTTTTGCCAAGGTCATTAATTTCTCCAAGGATTTTGATCATTCGAGCTTCCATATCAACAATGGATTCGTTTGAGAGCATTTTGAAGTCCTCGAACTTCTTCATAGCAATTGTGAGCTTATTATCTTTTTCTTGTTCATCTCCTTCTCCGATCTTGATGAGAGTATCCCAAATATCTTTTGCACTTGTACATTTTCGAACCTTTGGGAATATTGTATCATCAATGGCTTTGAACAGAATATCTTTGGCAATGTTGTCAAGATTGTTCCTTTTTCTATCATCCGATGTCCATTTCGGTTTTGGCTTTGGTACGAATTGTTGAGCATCCAGAGATAGAAGAAAAGCCGTATTTACTTTCAAAATTTCGATCGGGCCAGTGGAAATAACTTCCCACATTTCATCGTGTAAAGCTGATAGATGAACCTGCATACGAACTTTCCAATCATCAAATATATCAAGCAAGAATAATAGATTTTGAGCTAAATCTTTATTCATCTTCTCGGTGGATACGAGAGACAAATAATCCAATTTACACACACTGGGTAAGATGGATCTGCCTAGCAGTCAGAAACAAGGTTGACCCAATTAGGCAACCTGCTCTTGATACTAATTGTTGGTATCGATTAGAGACAAATTCTGACTCGGATAGGCACCAGCTCTGATACCAATTGTTGGTCCCAAAAGAGGTAAGGTGAAAGTCTAGAGGGGGGGGGGTGAATAGACTTTCAAACTTTTTTCACAATATAACAATTGGTAAGCCAGAGATAAACCAAGACTCTTAACTAGATTGTTAGAGTCCGGTGCACAGCGGAATTAAATAAACGATACGGTGTGTGTGTAGATCGTGTCAAGATTATTGACGTGAGAAGCAAGCAAGAGCGGTAAGTAAAGAAAGCAGTAAAGAACACAAGGCAATTTATAGTGGTTCGCGAGGTGGTGTAATCCTCCTACTCCACTTGCTCTTTTCTCCAAGAGCTAATTCACTATATCCACCACTTCTTGGTTCCAAGATACAATGAATTCCGTGATCTAGTGCTTTGATCACCAAGCCCACACTAATCACACCCAGTGACACCAACACTGCTGCTTCGAGTTTCACGTCGCCGCGTTACTTTCCCAGGATTTCACAACTCCGTGCTACTTTCCCCCCGTCTTCTACGATCCGGTAGAAACGTATCTTCCGTGATCTGGTGCTTTGATCACCAAGCCCACACCAATCACGCCCAATGTCCTCCGACACTGCTGCTTCGGGTTTCACGTCGCCGCGTTACTTTTCCAGGATTTCACAACTCCGTGTTACTTTCCTCCTTTCCCTTGTTTTGCTCCAAAACAAGTTTTGCCTTGCTTCCAACTTTGAGATTCTGTAGATGATCTTCGTTGATGCGCTGAATCTCTTGAAGTTGATGAAGATTTTAACACTCTTGGATATTTCTTTTCTAAGCTATGTATCACTCTAAGTGTTTATCTCACAAAAGATATATCAATTTAAACTCTTGAGATGGAAAGCTTTCTTTGAATTTTGTATGCTCTGTTTAGCTCTGTTCTTGCTCTTTGTATTTTGCTTTTCTTGCTTCTACTATTTACTTCTTTTTCACCCCTGCTTTCCAAAGCTTCAATCTTCATCCTTTTATAGCTGGTAATGAGAATCCGTCCGTTGGAAAGAAACGGTCTCATTTTCGAATTTTGCTTAGCTGTATAGCCTTTTTGTCAGAAGATAAGATAACGTTGCAGATCTTGTCAGATATTTCAAATTGAGCTTGAGGTTTCAGCAAAAATGGCGTCCCATGAATCTCCATCTGGTGTAGATCATGCCTCTTGGGATTTTTATCTTCAAAATATATTCTCCAATATAATCCCTTACTAGTTAGACTAGTATTTTTGCTCCTGCAACTTCTTCTAATATCTTCCTCTGTTTTTCGTGTATCTGGGTCTGTATACTGCTTCCAGACTTCATCTCTTCAATTGACTTGGAAATCTCTTCCCTTGTGAAACTTCATCCCTTTCTATTTTGGGAAATGAAATCTCTATCCCTTGCTAGATTTGTCAATTGAATTCTCATCCCTTACTTGATTTGGAATTGCAATCTCATCCCTTGCAATCTATATCTCCAATTGAATTGAAGCCTTGTAAATCTCATCCCTTCAAATTGATTTCCCTGTACCAATTTGAACTTCAATTCTTCTGATGAAATTACATCCCTATTTCAATTTCGGGGTTCCAATTTGTTTGGGATACCAATTTCCCTTTCTATTTTGGGAAATGAAATCTCTATCCCTTGCTAGATTTGTCAATTGAATTCTCATCCCTTACTTGATTTGGAATTTCTCATCCCTTACTTGATTTGGAATTGCAATCTCATCCCTTGCAATCTATATCTCCAATTGAATTGAAGCCTTGTAAATCTCATCCCTTCAAATTGATTTCCCTGTACCAATTTGAACTTTAATTCTTCTGATGAAATTGCATCCCTATTTCAATTTCGGGGTTCCAATTTGTTTGGTAATTTCGGGGTTCCAATTTGTTTGGGATTCCAATTTGAGAAACTGCATCCCTTCACTTGTAAACTTCATCCCTTAGTCAATTTGGAGATCTCATTCCCTTTGACTTTGCAAATTGCATCCCTTGAAATCTCATCCCATAGACTTGCAACCATCGCCTCTTACTTGATCAGATGGAATTTTAACTTGGCTTCTTTAAAATATGTGGGATGTGAGATTCGAACCTGTGACCTTGCATATAATATTTCAAGCTTCTACCATCTCATCTGTACAACCTTTTAGTCATCTTCTAGTTTCACTTGGTGTACTCCTTTCTTTCCATAGATGCTTGATCTTCAAGATAGCTTCATGCAAACTTCTAGTCACGTTCTTTCTTCTTCGGGATTTCTTGAGGGATTTTCTCAAATTTCATACGCATACATCTTCCTCTTCTGTTTGCCATTTTCTCATGACAAATTCTTGATTTTTGGCTTGATATCTTCTTCATCCATTTCCTCAACTAATGAATTTATTTTTCCCTTTCTTGGTCTAAGACTCGACTAGTCTAATAAAATAAAATTGGGAATCTACGAATTACAATATGGCTTATCAAAATCTATTACAATTTATTCCTAACAATATATATATATATATATATATATATATATATATATATATACTAGTATTTGTCCCGTGCGATGCACGGAAAATATGTTATAAAAATATACAATATATGAGGTATATTCATATATAAAATTTTTGTTATTTAATCATTATTATGTGTGAATTCCTATGATAAAATTATGAACATAAATATATTTACAATTAAAATAATATTTAAGGTGGGTGATTACTACAAATCTTAAACTATATTAAAAATTTAGTACATAGTATTTAATATTATAAATTTTTAAGAACTTAGTAAACTACAATAGTAATTGAATTACAATTTTAGAGTCACCACGGATCAAAATTTTTAGACCTTTGAGATTTCTAACTCTAAGTGTAGCAATATACAATTGACCTTTAAAGACCAAAATCACAATCTTAGTTAGAACATTGATTTTTTTCATCCAAATACTATCGAATTAAGTGTGTAATCAATAAAAGATGAGAACTAATAATTCGAGAATATAATCTTAATGTTACTAAGCTTACTTCACGTCAATTAAGTTGGAGAGTGTTGTTGGATAGTATCCGATGAATCCACGAATAACGCATCTTTGTCTCCATAGTCCTCAATATGCACATCAACAATCTTAAATATTAAACCACATAGCTATGCTATATATTAATTTCAAACTTATGGACTTTGGGGTTGCATGCATGCTTCTTAAAGCCATATGGCTTTAAGATGTGAAAATTAAATGTTGCATTTAATTTTCACATCTTAAAGCCCATTTAATTTTCACAAGACTTTCACATCTTAAAGTCATATGGTCTTGTGAAAATTAAATGCAACATTCAATTTTCACAAGACCATATAGCTTTATTATATATAGGATATATATATATATATACTTATACGGTATTTCAACGCGTTAGAGTGGGTTACCAGCATTATTCGCTGAACAGATATATTTGGCTTTCAGGCACAGACGATTAGCTCCAGAGCGCGCTAGAGGACCCAAGACTTAGATAGGTAGTTCTTATTCGGCCTGCGTGCCATGATGATGTAATAATGATATTGTTTGAGGATGATTAGATGGTTTAGCCTGTGCATCTGAGTTCTCCAGCTCAGATGTGGCATAACACCACGCACTCTTATGTTTAGTACTGCTCTGCTCGGGATTTAATGAGAATTTACTTTTATTATATAAGTTTTAAAAGTCTTGAAAATCTGAGGTGTTACAGTTTGTATCAGAGCCTAAGTTTGACCCTAGGATAAGACCTTTAAGACCAAACTTTAGGACATTAGGCTTGAACTCTACGTATTTAGGAACATAAGATTCAGGAATCTTAGGACGCGCGGTGAGATTGTGAGCCTACCTACCATCACATAACTTCCCCTCACTCTATCATTTAGCTTAAAGAACTCCCCCTACGCTTACCACACCAAGGTAAGGATGCAGCACACTAACTCATCATTACAATAAATATTGGCCCTGAAAACTAGCAGCATGGCGCCAACAAGAAGTCAGTTGAGGATTCCCCGAACCCTCCGCTCATAAATCTCTAGCTCAGAATCTACAAACTAGCTTAGGTCACCCAGGCACTAAGCGACGCAATCCTCCGTGACAACAACCGACCACCACCACCACCAAACGGAAACTCAGATGTCGCTCAGCAAGTTTCAAACCATCGCTCACCCACCCTCTCAGGGGAAGAGGACCCCACACTCCTCGAAGGATGGATCCGAACCTTCGACAAAGTCCTCGGATTAGTGGAATGCCCAAAGGAACGCCACGTAGAGATAGCCTCATTCTACTTCGGACACAAGGCCGATCTTTGGTAAACCCACGAAGGAACCACTCACGAGCAATAACCAGAGGTTCAACTGGGAATGCCTAGAAGTACGGCGACAAAAACGATTCCACCCCGAACCCCTAACAAAGCCTATACCAGTGCTGCCGGATCCAACTTCTACAACGGGAAATTCAGGAACAAACCCAAAAGGAGGAGTAACAGAAGTGGGGGACCACTTGTAAAAGAGGATGGGAAATGCCAATTAAATGCAAGGAAGTGAAGTAGCACATAAACAACAGTTTTTCTTAATCTTTAGCGCGAATTGTCGAAAAAGACTCAACATGACAAGAAAAGGCGATAGAAGTGTAGAAAGTATCACACAACTGAAGCTTCCCTGCAATAAAGGTCTTACCTTGGAACAAGGACCTTGGTGGTTTTGAGACACCGTAAGAAGTACATGTGACACACAAAATCGCCAAAACACCATGCGACGTCGAGGATAGCCAATCAAATGCATTCCAAGGAAGAGAAAGGCATCGCTAAGCATTTGGTCACTAAAGGATTGCACAAGAAACGAGCGACAAGCCGAACCCCAAGAAAAACCAAGAAGGCTTGTCATTAATCAAGCAAGAAAAGGACAAAGTTGGCTTATGACCGACTACCCAGTGAAGGTGACGAGGTTGCTAATTGGAAACCGGACCCGACCTACTGGTTGGAAAGAACATGCGAGGGTCTTGACTCATCTAGAACTCGTACTTAAGGATCAACAACACAGTACGGTGAGTCATTCTATGTATTCAAGTCCCTTTTATTGTTCACATGGGCATGGGGCTTGTCGGGACTTGAATTTGTGCATTCTTGGGATTTTTCCCGAAGGAATTTCCCCTTCCTAGTCACCTTCCCGCGGGTCCCCAACGGGACCTTGATGGGACCCTAACGGGTCCTTGACGAGACCCTGACAGGAGCTTGGCAGGCGGACGACCGCCCACCTTGCGCCCACTGGTACAATGCGTTGATTTCTTAACTCCTCGTTTTATTGATTCATGGCGCACTTGTGTGCCTTGGTTGATGAACGCGAGTCTTGAGAAAGGAATCATGGGTTGTCCAAACATGGTGACCTCGGTAAAAGACCTTGACCCACGAGACACCGTCGGAAGAGTACAACCGATTGCATTACACATGGAATTGTAGTCGGACCCTACGATGTAACCGACTAGGGATGATCGGCGAGAAAGATTATGCAAACCAAGGAGGCGAGTTGGGAACTCGTGCTAAGGACTCACAAAGGCCTTAAAATCAAAACGCTAAGGATTGACCTGGACTCCCTCAAACCACGGATATCGTTGAAGTAAATCAGAGGGCTCCTTACAAGTTTTACGAAATCAAGAATGACGTTGTCCGTGGTGCTAAGGAAAAAAGTAAAGATCACATTTGTGCCAAGGCCTCAAGAGTTTTTAAGGACCAACAAGGAAATAAGACGACTAGTAAAGTCACCGAGACATTCCGCAACAAGATTAGGTAACCAACTGCACTTCAAGAAGAAGAGGAGCATGCAAAGGCACCTTCATCATTAAAAGTAACACAAAAGGGCATAGCAAGCCGAACCCCAGGGAAGACATGAAGTCTTGCTAAGAATTTCATTCACTAAAAAGGAGATGAAATTCAATAAGGAGAGGAAGCCAACCCAAAGATTATCGACTCCCAAGAGACTTTGGGAAGAATTTGGG